AGATATTGACATCCTTGGTAGTCTTAACGGATTCAGCGAGTGCGGGGAAGTGATAGGTCTGGTCCTGCGGGAGGAAGGCAACTGGAAGGCCATGGATGGCCAGCTGCACCTCGTTGGACTCGGGACAGAAGGGGCAGTAGGTGTTATCCCTAACAGTGAAGGACTGGTTGATTTTGTTGGCAAGCGCCTTGTAGTAGGGGAAGTAGCTGGTGGCTGGCATGAGGGGATCAGTAGTGAGGAAAGTAATCATACCATGCGTGTTGACAGTGGCTGAGAAAGAAAGGCTGTAGGGACAGCTCGCCTCTTGGAGAATGGAGGCAACGATGTCAGAGATGGTGGCCGCCAGGCGTGTTGAGTCGGGGTGAGAGACCGGAGCGGTTCGGGGCGTGAAGAAGCAATGTTCAGCAGCAGGAAGGGGGGCAGCCTCCTGGACTTGGGAGGGGCCACCGCCTAACACTGCGACTTGGGCTGCGGTGGTCACCTTCTTCTTGCCCTTAGCGTTGCTCTGTTGTACTTGGCCCCTGGGAGGGGCTAGAGCATTGGCGTAAGAGGAGGAGGGGGAGACTAGTATGAGGAAGGAGGGGGCAGGGCCTAGATAGAAGGTAGACTCTTCCGGGAATTCACCCTGGGCGAACTGGAAAGCTACAAAGGAGTGGGGATATCTGGCGGCGAAGGTGCGTGGGTTACCATACCACACTCCATCAACCTGCACAGGAGAGTCAATGTCCTCAACTTAGATATCTAGGATGTAGCCGGGAGGGGCGTGGTACTTCGCTCCAGGGGGAGCAGGAGGGGGGGGGGGAGTAGTAGGCGCTTGGTCTGTTTTGCAGGGGGAGGAGGGGTCCAAGCGCGACAGCCGGGGGGTGGGCAGCTGATGCTGTGACCCTCAGAGAGAGGTCCCAGACAGAGGCTTCTCATGCAGGAACTGAGGGAGGGTCCTTGGAGGCAGCCGTGGAGGACTGCTCAAGGGCCTCTAGGCTTTGAATGATGCTACTGATCCCAGAGAGGGTAGTGCAGAGCAGTGGTAGGAGGATGGCTTTGCTGGCAGACTGTTCTTGAAGCTCGAAATCGGTTGGGGGGGGAATCGGAGGGGCTGCCCACCCTATATGGTGGAGAGTAAGGGCTAGCTCTTCTCTAACCAGAGGAAGTTGAGTGGGAAGAGAGGGGGTTGGTGCCCTTGACTCATAGGGCGAAGCATGACTGGAGGCTCGAGAGCCAGACCTTAAAGGTCCCAGGCCAGACCCGTCCATGATGAAGGGGGCTGTGCGGGGTAGTGAGAGGGCTGCGCACTTAGAGACTGAAGCCTAAGCGAGGGAAGGAATTAGGTGTGTGGAGATGGTTGCCATGCAAAACCCTGGAGTTTTGCCCAGCCGAATGCGGTAATGTTTTTAAGCGAGAGGAAAGTAGAGGGCGCGGAGCCTGGACTTAAAGGTAGGGACGCACCTCTATATTTATATTCCCCATCTGGGTGGTCGCAGCCTACATCCAATCCCTTACTGGCTATATACCTGCCATACTAATGATTCACTGTCCTTGGAGTACGAACTCCATTTGACCCTGAAAACTAGCTTCTCCATTCTCTTCCTAAGTGCAGTGATCAGCTCCATCAAAGGACTTATCAATGACTCTTCTATGTGTATAGCTTAGAGTGCATTACAAAGATAACTAACCCAACTGGTAAGTTGTTATTAACCAATTGTGAACAGGTCTTCAGGATGACTCTGCTTCATGCAAGCTGATGGGGCATGCATATTACTTCTTGTAATAGCGTATAGACCCCCAGTGGCCGTAGCTTCATAACTAACTGACCAATCTGAACCAACTAAGTCTCTTCTTATAGAGCGTAGCACCTTCTCTGTTATCCAGCAAAGCCCCTCGGTTGCGTGCCTCATATCTCTGCGGAGCAGGCTGTCTAGATGCCTTATGGTTCTGTGCAATGCTATGATATTGTTATGATGACAACCACGGGACCCAGAGTCGAACACGTGACATTATGCATTTAGCCATATACCACACCAATTATGCTTCTATGTGTAACAATTCCAGACTCCTGCACTTACTAATCTGTGATAGAATCATTTATGTATCTGACTACTGCTACAAGATCTGGTCTAGCATATACCTTTTCTTTCCTCTTTCAATTTTCTACTTGCCCTACCAAACAGCAGCTCATGGCTGCTAAACACGTATTTCAACATGTTAATAGAATAAAATACATTGGACTCTTCTATCCTTATAATATGACAAATGATATTGATTCCTACATTGACGCTGACTTTGCTGCTTACCTCAATCCCTGCCACTCCTTCTCAGGATTCATTGTACTTCTCAATAGTGCATCTATCTTATGGGGCTGCAAGAAATGAGCCTTGATTGCACTATCAACAACCAAAGCCAAATATGTTATAATATCACTTACCGGAAGACAAATCTAATGGTTCCGAAAGGGTCTCAAAGATATCTGTCCCACATTACCAATCCCTTTACCTGCAGACAACGCCAGTACAAATTTTCTTACCAGGAACCATCAGCTAAACTACTAAACGAAATACATTGATATACACTACTATAAAATACAGGAAGAAATCAATAATAGTTTGTTTACGCTCCTGACTATTGCCACCTCTGATAACCTTACTAACATCTGCACAAAAATCTTTACAAAATAGGTACATTGACAGTTGGTGAGACTTTTGGGCTGTAGATAATGAGGGGAAGTGTTGAATTTTCTAATTAGTTTTATATGGGTGCTGATATGCGAAAACTGGGCAAATCTGCAACTGCGATACATTTCCTTCAATGCATATTATACTTCTTAAATATAAAGAGCATCATCTCAAGAGCTTAAAAAATATTTGTCAGTTAAATTGCAGTCTTTATAAGCTTTATAATTCATTAGATAGGTGCTGATATGTAAAAACTAGGTAAATCTACAACTGTAACAAATTTCCTTTAGTGCATATCATACTTCTTAAAGATAAAGAGCATCATCTGAAGAGCTTAAAAAATATTGGTCAGTTAAATTGGACTCTTTATAAGCTTTAAAGTTCATCAGATCCAAAATTGTTGTGGTTGTCATGCAAACTTCAAAGTGTTATAACTCAAAACCAGGTTAAAGGTGTCTGCCCAGTTTTCACATATCAACACCCATATGTATATTCTCCTTAATAATATTGTATATTCCTCTACTTAGTATTACTTCTAGACTATAAATATCACTACAGCTGGAGTGTGTATTATGTATATTTCATAAATATTTTATGATACGATTAAGGAATTATCATGTGTTTTCTTATTTGTTGTTCAGGTTTATTTCTTACATTTTATATATCATCATACATGGTCATCGGTCATTTGCTTTACAATTATATTTTAATTATCTGCTTATACTACCTTAGATTTACATATATTTTATAGGATTTTCTTGGCAGTTCTTCAGGGTCAGACATGTTTACACTTATGTTTTTCCTACCTATGTTATGGTCAAATATGTCGATACTTATATTTCCCCCGATGTTTTATCTTAGTTATACGAAGGATGCGAACCTGTATAATTAGAGGTTACCATCTATCTTACTTGAGAGAATTAAGGACAAGAACTACTACCAATTTACCTTCATACAAAATTGCTCCTCGCTTAGCATGCCTGTAGTCTACTCTATCTACCCTCTTGTATTTTCATACAAAGTTATTAAGATAGTGCTGTACCATACTCATTTGAACAGTCCTTAAATTGGTAAGAGTTTGTCAGCACCAAAGAAAGTAAATGCTCAAAGAGAGAGACAAGTATATTTATTATGTATAGAGAGTCAAGTCAGGAGAGAGGAACCAGGTGGTAGGTTTATTGACTATGCAGAATAGAGCAAACAGTAAGGGAGGAATGAAGAAAATTAGGAGAGTGTTTAGGGTACTGTGATTATAATTTACAGACATAATTTGTGATTTCAAATCACATAATTATTAACCTCTAAAATCACAAAGTTCAGAAATCATGATTTCAAATAATACTTCCCCAAATACCTCCTCATTTGATTTTAATTTTATAATAATATTATAATTGAATTCCTTTTTTTTAGAAATAACATTCTGTTAATAATTATTATCTGCTAACTATACTGTTTTCTTTTGAACACAGCTAGATATCAGATAATTGTGATTTTCTAATATATTTCTAATTTTATTCTATTGCTTTACAAGCTCTGCCTATTTTACTTTCTTAAAAAAATAATAATAATTTCCCATCTAACCAATAGTACTAGTTCCTACTATCTTAATATCTGAAACTGAAACAGAATATGAATGCAATAGCACTTCCTCCAATATTCAGCAGCAGTCACTTTTGCTTTATATAAATTTGTTGGCATTATTGCAAGCCACCTGACAGGAAAAAAGTGATAGTTATAAGAACAAGTATGAAGGAAAAATCACAGACCCAATGTAGTTACTTTATCATCTTACAAACTTTATGAAACTAAATTACTTCAGATATTAACCTACTCTTTATCCCGTGGAAAGTGGATCAAATCAAGAAACAAAACCCTGAATTAAATTCAATTTGAAATTGGTGTCCCAAACAGATTTTTTTTCTTCAAATCCTGACTTGGTTGCAAACCACCATTTGAAATCACAATCATATTTGCCCCGAACACCCCCTAGGTGTGTTGGTTGGTCGGGGAGGAGAAGAAAAAGAACATGAGAAAACAAATGTCAGGTAGCAACGCACAACCAAGGCATGAGAGATGTATAAGCACTTACGTATACACACCATTGCTGATGGCTCCCATACCAAATCATTCTCTTCTTTTCAACACGGTCTGAGGTGGAAAACCAACGACTCGTTGTGCAACATGAGCCTGCTAACGCAGGGGGAAATTCTGGGGCAACAAGAAATCGTCACAGACACACTATCATACCGGTATCATACCTAGAGTGGGCAAGTAGGCCATTGCGTAAGATATGGATTTCCTCTTCAGCACTCAATACCTCGTTCTGTCTAACATAACCACATGTATCCTGAGTCCCCATGCTTGCGAGCATCCACCCCGCAAATTCTCTCAACTCCAACTTCGGTACACACCGTACCACATCTATCATGCCTTAGAAAAGCGTTAACTGTGAGCGCTGCCTGGGTCGACGTTAGTTCAACCCTCTACATCTGGAACTACCCTGCGACACCGTGACAAAAGTATTCGCGGGGGTGAAAAAGTGGGCTCGCAATATGATAGCATCAAGCACCAGTGGCTGAACTGAGTATGAAACGAAATCTACCCCACTCCGCACCAAACATAACCTACCCCCATCTAGGATAATACTAACTAATTTAACGCGCTCCCTCTTTCTTAACGCGACCCGACAAACAGAACTTGAGCAGGAACCTAACAACCGGGAACCAAAACAAGCAGGCGAGTGAACACTCAAGTAAGCAGAACCGCCCAAGATTAGACAAAAAACACCAACCAATGAATTCTATACCGATATCCCAACCCCCCATCGGCTTAAAGACAAGTGAGAGCGCAGCGAAGGGGAAAGCAATTGGGAGAACCACTCGAGTGCTGAGCATTGTAGATTAGTCTTTTAGATCGCCTCGCTACTCATCCATGCATGTATTTCCCGTTGGAAGCGATAATACTTGCTCATTCTTGCAACACACTACAGTACAGCATCCGAGCAATACGCGAGCGGCGGCACACTAAATGGCGAACTAATCCTCGAGTGATATCCAATGACAACGTTTGCCGTGACACACCAGACTGGTGATATATTCTAAGGCATACTACAATTCCGTGCCATACCCTAACTTAATAAACACCCCCGATCCCCAACCACACTTGTGGATACAGTACACTTCAAAAAGGATAAAAAGAGAACGCCAAAAATTTGCCACCAAACAGCCAGTATCGCACAATGTACAAATGGTGAGAAGGAAGGGAAAGGAGGAAGAGGGAAAGAAGAAACAAAGTATCGTCCATCAACGCAAGACCGTGGGTTCCAATGAGTAGTTAAAGCGTAAATAGAATTGAGGAGATATGGTAAGGAGGAGAGGTTATTCAATCACAATTGCCAGGGTAGGTGCAAGTACGAAAAATGAGGGGGTAGGACAAAATGGGAAGGGAAAGGAAGATGGGCGCAGGGGAGGAGCATGAGTTCCCATCCCCGCCCTCCGGTGAGACAGGGGGGGAAGAAAAGATGATGAAACGGAGAGAGAGGGAAAGAGACGTACTTCCCGTAAAGCTTCCAAAGGTACGACTAATCAAGCCAGCCAAACCAAGGAAAACCGGCCAGTAATAGGCCCATCCGGTCTCCCAGAGCAGCGGCACAAGGAGCCCAAGAGAAGCCGAACTATCGATGGCCAATAAGCTGGATAAGATCATCATCGTCATCGTCATCATCGCCATCACCATCCTCATCCCCACCATTATCATCATCATCGTCGTCGTCGTCGTCATTATCGTCATCATCGCCATCGTCGTCGTCGTCGTCATCTTCTTCCTCATCCTCGTAGTCCTCTTCTTCCAGACCCTCCTCCCTGCCGCTACCAAAACCACCCAGGTCATCGTCATCATCGATGTCCGTGAAGTCTGCACTATCTTCAGTTTCCCATCCATCGTCTAGGGTTAAGTTTCCCATTCCATCCAATCCCATTATAGCCTCTCCCGCCGCTGCGATAGCTCTGTTCGCATTTGCCAGCGCAGCGTCACCTTCGGCCGGAGCCAGGCGGGGTGGAGAATTTGCCTGACCCCTGAGTAGGGAATTCGACGGTGTTGTACTCTCAGGAATACGTGGGATAGTGGACGGAGACATATTACCCCCACCGCCATCCTGACCGTCTTCCGGGCGGAGGATACGTATCTGGTTGGTGTTATAGGACTTGCAGTTCTCGCACTTTAGTCCCAAGAAATGGAATGGCACATTACTCTTGGCCGAGCAATCGTTGCAGCCAATTAGACAGCGCCAATTCTTGTACGGCTCTGGCAGCGGTTGTGTTTCTATCTCTAGATCTAGAGCACGGAATTGACTTTCCATGTTTATGATTGTACGTGCGCATGTAGGGCAGCGATATGATGTCCTCATGTGCTCGTAGTAGCAGCGCTGATGTATTGAATGTCCGCATGTCTATTTATTTTCTCAAAGGAGGTTAGGTTCGTCCGGCGATTCGCTGGATAGGGGTGGGGGTGACATACCATAAATACCACAGTTTGAGTAGAAGTGAACATATATTCACCACAGATAGGGCAATCGCATTCGGTCGACCTTTCGATGCATCTATGCTCGCCCTCCAATGAAATGGACATGCACACACCGCACTTCTATTCTCGGTCAATCGTCACCACTTCCGAGGGCGAAAAGTTGTTGGATGTGTACCTTGCAATGGAAGAAGTCCTTCCCAAGACCCTTTCCTATTCGACAGATGCCACAATCATTGCAGTGATATATACTCTTGTCTGGGTCATCGTCCCACAGTTTGCACTAGCATACGTCAGCCCCATTCAGCTCTCGGAATTAGGCGCAACAAATTCCCATGCCCCGAAATACCCCGAGAAAGAGAACGCAAACCTTATCGCAGTAGTATCTAGAGCTCCTGACACCGCAATGCCTGCAGTCCTGTTGAGCCGGCTGGGCCCGGCCACAGTGCATGCACAGCATATTTTTAGTCTCCCTCCTAATCAAGTTATGATCCTGATCTTCGTCATGGCAAAACCTGCACGTATACCACTTTCCGCATGTCGAGCATTGAAGCTTTACACCCCGGCGGTAATGCGAGCAACCAAGCTCCAGAACCCCGCTTTCAGCTACTTCAGAACCCGCATAGTATGTTCTTGCAAAATCTGCAGGTGACAGTCTGTATGGGTTCTCCCCTTGTAGCAAAATTTGGCCGTCAGCACCGGCGGTCTGAGCGCTATTTGGTGGCGGGGATCCCGGGTTGATTATATCTGCGGCGCGGCGTGACGCATTGTATTTTTCGGTCATGAGAAGGTGCATCCTTCTCGCCCTTTCCCGTTCGCTGATTTCCAGCTTGTTAATCTCTACCAGTTTTCGGCGTAATTCCCTCTGCCCGTCATCCTCTGGTAAGACGAAAGGTCCGGGCGCATTGCTCCCTGGCCCGACGGCACTCGGCTGACTTGTAGAAACGGTAGAACTCTCCGACACTGGCATTAACGATGAAGTTGGAGGGGTTGGCGCGGGCTGTGAGATGGGAGCCGGGGAAGGGGCATTATGAGGCTCATTGGGGGCAGAATCCATATTCGCAGATGGTAGTATGCCCGTCGGTGGGTCAACGATGATTAGTGTTCTCGCGGAGTCAGTGTCCTCGGAGTCGATATCGATCGCTTCGGAGACAGAGTCCAAGACCAGAAGACGGGTAATCGGAGTTGTAGGTGCAGAAGGTGAGCTAGGTGATGCTTCGGTGGCAATCGCAGGACGCTCTTCGGCAATGGATGACTGTGACCATCTGCGGGCCCTCTCGACCACGGGAGCAATAAAGCGGATGGCGTAGGTAGCCATCGGGAGATCTGACAGCACCTTACCTGTGGAGGCGAGATGGAGCGGCCGGAAGCAACCGAGGAGATCAAAAGGGCAAAAATTAGAAACAAAGTGAAGCGGCGTAGAAGAAAATGGTGCCAATGGTGTGGATGATGGCAGATGGGTGAGTGGGCAGGAGTGGCGGGGGGGTATGGATTGGGTGGTCGATGTGGAACAGTAAAAGGCTCTCGCCAGGTACTCGAAGTACAGCAAGAAATCAACCACCATAATTAGTAACAGAGGATCCCAACAACCACCCGGAGAGAAGGATCTACCTTGGGACACTTTTGTGTTATCGGGCCCAGGCCAATCACGATGCCAGGGTCTTCACATATATATGCACTACGGTAACCTACTCTCGAAACCCCTCGAAGCAGCCTCGAATCCTAAACTCTCCCGAGTAACCTCATGGTAGGCATTAGAACAAATTATGATACGGCGAGGTGACACAGCTGATCTGCGCCGGTGCATTCTGCATAAAAAATATGATAATAGTTATTATTGTACTATTTCTGTTTTGTCGCATTAGAGCACAACAACGAACTTTCATTTTCAATTAGCCTACCACAAAAACTTGCGAGCTCCAAGTTTCATTCACCGCGGACAACAGACCGGTGTTGGAATCTCCGGCGTTTTCATGCTGTATGGGGGCTGTGTGGGATGACCCGAAATCCACAGTTGTCCAATTGGATAAGTTTCTCTATAGGTGCACATAGATTTTCCTGCGCTTACTATGAAGTTTAGAGCTCCTCTGTACTCGAGTACCGTACTGTACAGTACCCGTACTCTCCAACAGAATTGCCCACATTAGATAAGCCCTAGCTTGATTGGCGAAATAGAGCTTGAGTCCTTATGTTCTGAGCCACCTGTAGCTATATTTATATCAGCCGATATGAGATGACAATTCATAAGAGGGTCGAATGGAAACCCCGAGGTCGGAAGGCTATCTTTCAACGGTACCATGTGATTTGCCCGCGCTACAGTGTTGGGTTCGTGCGATGGCAGTCTGACGACGAACTACATGTATGTCCGAGAATTAGACTGTGCATAATACATACGTAGTAGGGTATTATCAAAAGTCGAGTCCACTTAGTAACTTCTTCCTCTTGTTTTACTATGCTAGGTTTTATTGCTCGTCTACAGCCAGGCCTAGGACCTAGAGTAACAAGTCATTACCGGTTCTCTATTACAAGCACAGTACCGCATTTTCTAGTCAAACCCGAAATCACACTAAGTATGAAATAGGATGGTGGGGCAGTCACTAAGCATGTGGCAACTTAAGCGGATATAAAATTTTAATCCAAATGCCAGTAATTGTATTCGTGCTTGCCAAGATCTGCAATTTTATTAATGCTCCTTCCTTATATTACAAAATCTTTTAGCTTCCAAGCTCCATTTCTCTTTATCTCCTGTTATTCAAATTATAATTTTTCCTACAGTCAGATCTGTTCTCTTTTCAGTTCTTCCTCCTATTCCCCCCTTACTAGTTGTCTTCTTATTTTACCTCCAGTTCCTTTCCTAATTCCCTTAGGCTGCGTTTGGCTTGCTAGGATTAGCCTAGGATTTGGACTTTAAGTCCAGACTTAAAATCCAAAGTCTAGTCTAATCCTGGAAAGTCTAGATTTTAAATCCTGGATCTATCAAACATGACAAGATTTAGATTTAGACTTTTGTTAATCAATAATCTCTTAATGACTTTTTAAAAATTTCTGCTATTAGGGATAGATTAACGAGTAACCTATCTAAATCTCAGCTTTTATTATTATTTACCTAATATAGATATTTCAGTACTGTAGTTTAATACACAATTTTATGGTAGTATCAGACCAGCAGTGGAAGATTGCTGCTATTAGAGGTGCTCTTGGTACTTGTGGATATATGATAGCAACTACTAGAAAGGCTTGCTGGACCTCTCTACTAAGTGGACAGGACTATACTAATAAGTTACTAGCTTGTGACCATGAGGAATAGATTATAGAAAACCTGAGAATAAATAAGTATCTTTTTCTTAAACTTTGCAAAAAGCTACACAAATATGGAGAGTTGAAAGATACTCAGTATACTACTGTTAAGCACCAGGTCCATATGTTTCTATATCAGGTCGCAAATGCACCATCTACACGAAACCTTCAAGAATGATTCCAACATTTTTTAGAAACTATACATCTATTGTTTCAAAAGGTACTCAATGCAATTAGAAAATTAGAGGGTAAGTATATAAAGTTACCACTAGAGAAATTAGGCAATACTGGTCTCAAGATTTCATAGGAAATAACCAGTCACCCAAAGTTCTATCCTTACTTCTGTTCAAATGTGTAGGTACAGCACTATCTTAATAACTTTGTATGAAAAGATGATACAGTAGAGAGAGTATACCGTGGGCATGCTGAGGGAGGAGGAGTTTTGTATGAAGGTAGATTGGTAGTAGTTCTTATGCTTAATTCTCTTCAGCAAGATGGGTGGTAACCCCTATTTATATAGGTGCGCATCCTTTGCGTAACTAAGAGGAAATGTAAGGGAAAATATAAGTGTTGACGTGTTTGACCATAACATAAGTAGGAAAAACATAAGTGCGAACATGTTTGACCCTAAAGAACTACCATGGAAATCCCATAATACATATATAAATCTGACGTGGAATGAAGGAATAATTAGAACATAATTGTAAATCAAATGACTGATGATGGTGTATGACAATGCATAAAATGTAAGAAATAAACCCGAATACCATATAAGAAAAGTAGGCCATAATCCCCTAATTGTATCATAAAATATCAAATGAAATATATGGAATACATACTCCAGCTATAGTAATGTTGATAGTCTAGAAGAAATACTAAGTAGAGGAATATACGATATCATCAAGGAGAATATACATATAAAATGAATTAGAAAATTCAATACTTCTTCTGATTATCTAGAGCCCCAAAGTCCTATTAGCCGTTCGTGTGCCTGTTTCACTAAGATTTTGATACAGATGTCGGTGAGGTTATCAGAGGAGACAACCTTCAGGACTGTGAACGAATTGTTATTGATTTCTTCCTGTATTTTGTGGTAGTGTATATTGATGTATTTTGTTCAGTTATTTAGCTGATGGTTTCTCAAGAGAAAATTTGTGCTAGTGTCACACCAGCAAAAATAAAAGCATGTATCCTGTATGTCCTGTACATCTGATGTACAGGATGCACAGGATGTAAACCATTAATGAGGATGCAAGATGGCAGCTACCAAATCTCAGGACGCAATGGTCCTTGGTTGCAGAACTCAGGACGCAGCCAGAACGCAAGCAAGCCTTGGAGCCAGAACTCAGGATGCTGTCAGAACGCAACCAAGCACTACTGTGATTTACAGGATACAATATCAGAATTAGACCTTGTGACTCAAGTCACATGTAGATTCTGAAACAGTTCAGATAAAAAACATTTCTCATCATATTCAAGTTAGTTCTATAACACGTGGTACAGAAAGAAACCCCCCCCCCCCCCCCCGCAATCCTTAGCGATAAATCCAGCCTAAACTACTTACCTCGCAGGTGCTAACTGCACTGATATTTGCACTAGAAAGGCGTTTGGGCACCTTTGGAAAGCTAGTGTCAAGTAGTATCAGGCTGCTGGGTATCAGATCCTGTACTCAAAGGATGCCCAAGGAATCTGGTGTCAAAGTCAGCACTCTACCAGGGTAAAAACAACTTGCAGAACAGGTTGTAACTCAACTGACATTGGGGCCGGGTAGGTGTCTGAGGTACCGTTAGAAAGCTGGCATCGAGTAGAGTTGGGCTGCTGAGTATCAGACACTGTGCCTGAAGGGCACCCCGGCAGCCTCGCGTCAAACTCAGTACTCTCCCAGAACTCAGCCAGGCTAAAGACCCCTTTCAGAACAGGCTGTAGGTCTACCAATATGGGTGCCAGGTAGACGTCCCAGATCCTGTTAGAAAGCTGACGTCGCGGAGAATCAGGCCGCCGAGTATCAGATGCTGAATCCAAAGAACACCCAGGCATTCTGGCGTCAAAGTCAGTACTCTACCAAAACTCCACTAGGGCAAAGACTACTTTCATAACAGGCTGTAGCTCTACCACTATTGGCGTCAGGTAGACGTTCAAGGTACTGTTGGAAAGCTGGTATCGCGTAGAATCAGACTGCCGAGTATCAGATGCTGCATCTAAAGGATGCCTAAGCAATCAGGCATCAAACTCAGAGCTCTGCCAGAACTCTACCAGAACTCCGCCAGGGTGAGAACCACTTTCCTAACTGGCTCTAGCTCTGCCAATATTGGTGCCAGGTAGACGTTCAAGCT